ATGGATTGGGGTCTGCAGCTAACAATTCATGTTTTCTAGATACGTTGATTTAATTGTGTTATATATAATCTAAATAGTGAAACATGTCCATCCCAGTTTCTTAAGTCCAAGGTGATGACTTAAAATGTCTTATTTTGTGAGTCAATAACCAGAAAGTATTGATTTTATTTAAACGAGAGAGGCTTCAAACGTTTTCATTGCCATTTTTGCATGATAAAATTACTTTTAAAGTATTAATACATTGGCAAATAAGCAATAAGTGATTCTTTTTCTATTATGTAGTTGACCATTAGTTTCTACTCTACTAATTTATGAGAAAAACAAGATTGTTTTTTGACCTTTTTCCAGGAAAGTAGCATCCTATTCCTGGTATTTCTAAACGAACGTTCCTGCCAAAAGTGACACGGTAGTTAACGTTTGTTCTTTAGTATAATATCCTAATTCTGAATGAATAATGTTGGTGTAAGCATGGCCACCACATTTTATTGGTGACCGGGGGGGCACGAGCACATATTTCAAGCCTGCTGTCAATTTTTAGTGTCTGATGCCAGAGGCTTACGTGGAAAAAGGAGCCTGCCAAAAGTCTCCAAACAGAGCTTAAGAGATTTCTCAGGCACCGTGTTTGCAGTCGTCATTGATAAACAGGCCAGGAGAGGAGACAGCAGGGTATAAGGAGATTCATAATCCCATCCCCTCTTCCTACGGATTCTCTCTCCGTCTTTCCTTCCTCCGAATGCGCTACACCTAATGAGACGACAATACGACTCCTGTGTCTGCCTCTGAGCGTCGGAGTTAATGAAACCGGCAATATTAGATATCTTATCTTCAAGTAACTTCCACTGTAGGGATCGCTGTGTTTTTAAAGCAACGTCAAACAACGAAATCATGTAAAAATCATTGGAGTTAGGGGTTAAAACTAGTGCTGTCAATCGATTCAGAAAAATTAGTTGCTAGTATTTACGTGTATTAGAGATAAAGTAAATACACGTGTGGTGATGTGATAAAGAAAGGCATGACAAATTCTTACGGAAATCAGAGGGTTTTCTAACATGATTTGGGAATGATTGGCATGAAGTCGGACACATTTTCGACATCGACAAACCAGCTGTAAAAGAGAGACGCTCTGATTGCCCTCTGTATAATGTAGGCTAAACATATGGTCGAAGTAGTATCTGTAAAGTGATTGCCCTCTGTTTAATATGTGAGTTACACAGGGAATATTCTCTGCCGCTATCATATTGCAACCATTATCAGTTATCTGTTGGTTATCTCCCACTCTTAAGGAACTGACGCGTGGTTTGCCAAAATGCCTTTCCTCCGTTTCGCCCGTGTTGTAGTGACGCTTCTTACTGATATCCAGCGGTCAGTAAACACATGTAGCTTGTGCCGATTTCTCCGCTTTCTTTGCCTTTTCACTGCCATCAATTCATGGTAAACTTAGGTGTTGGTATTGCCATAGCAACTTTAGGTCAAGGTTGGTAATGTGATGAATTTGCGTACTTTTTTTTTTAACGTTTCCAGATTAATCACGAGGGTTCACATTGTGCGTATCTCCATGTCCATCATGTTGTTAAATCGGTCCGCAGAGCATCATATGTGACTTTCTGCAAAGTGCGCGTCTGAATCCTGTTCGACCAATAGAGAGCGAGCTATGTGGGGCGACTTAAAAAAAAAAGAAGTACATCTCGATTTCATTGGCAGCACATTCACTTGAAGCGAGTGGAATATGGGTCATGATCTGATATAAAAAGGGCTTCTCAATAATTCATCGGAGCTGATTAAGAGGACTTGTATCGACGGAGACACTGTCCATGAGAAGATGTGGAAGTGTGTACAGGAAAGCAACATTTAGCACCCTTTGTGGGATTAGTGGAAGCTAAGAAATCCTGGGGCTGCTTTGATGTTTTAATCTACTGTACGTTCACCTCTTCTGTTTCGTGAAGGGTTGCAAAAAACACGTGACAAATCCGTGATTACTGCGTGTGTGTACATGTTGTGCAATTTGCGCGAGGGCCCATCAATCTATTAAATATGAAAAGTACAATCTGTTACCCCGCAGAGATTCCTTTATTATTCATCGACATATTTCAATTAATCATTAATTTACCTAAGTATGGCTCTTCAATCCACACCCTCATATGGACTCTGTGTGGGGTTCATAGCGTCTGTATAATCTGGATTAATAAAAGCTATTTATTATTCTTCTGATCTAATACGTGCTGTAGTTGGGCGGTTTTCGGGGGGGATGAAGGCAGAGACAATTTAGTACTACAGCAAATTTGGGAGGAAATGTATTATTTATAACACTGGGCTGGATTCTCCTCTATCCTCGCTCACACACACAGTTCACTAAAGAGAGATGTGAGATGCATTTAAACAAATTAATGAGGCGTTGTTTTTACAGAGTAGGAATCAGAGGTGTAAATTAACTAAGTTCAGTCTCTCAAAATTGTACTTCAGTATTTCCATTTTATGCTAGTTTGTACTTCTACTCCTCTACAGTTCAGAGGTACTTTGACTCCACTACATGTATTTAATACCTTTAGTTACTTTACAGATGTGGATGAATGATGTGAAATCTAATCAAGTGTTAAATCAGACTTTAGTTCCACCTGGAGTAAATCCACAAGCTACCCTGCAGTATACAAAGTCATTCAAACTAGCTGCACCTTTACCAGCTTTGAGAACACTTTCATGATCAATCATTATAAAACATATCATATATATTATTCTGAAATGGACCAATCTGCACAATGACTACTTTTACTGTCGCTACTTTCACTATATTTTGATGAGAATACTTTTCTACTTTTACTTGAGGAACATTTTGAATGCAGGACTTTTACTGTAACAGAGTATTCCTACACTCTGGTACTTCTACTTTTACTCAAGTACAAGGTCTGAGTACTTCTACTTCTACTGTAGTACAAGATCTGAGTACTTATACTTTTAATCTAGTACAAGATCTGAGTACTTCTACTTTTACTGAAGTACAAGATCTGAGTACTTCTACTTTTACTCAAGTACAAGATCTGAGTACTTCTACTTTTACTCAAATACAAGATCTGAGTACTTCTACTTTTACTCAAGTACAAGATCTGAGTACTTCTACTTTTACTCAAATACAAGATCTGAGTACTTCTACTTTTACTCAAGTACAAGATCTGAGTACTTCTACTTTTACTCAAGTACAAGATCTGAGTACTTCTCCTTTTACTCAAGATCTGAGTACTTCTCCTTTTACTCAAGATCTGAGTACTTCTCCTTTTACTCAAGATCTGAGTACTTCTCCTTTTACTCAAGATCTGAGTACTTCTCCTTTTACTCAAGATCTGAGTACTTCTCCTTTTACTCAAGATCTGAGTACTTCTCCCACCTCTGGCAGAAATAGCTTTATTCAGATTGAGTTAGGCGTTTGAAATTCACCTCATTGAATCATTATTCATTCTGAGGGGGCAGGTCAGAGGTTGCAGAGAGCATTATGGTTTTTATTAGAGTCTAACTGACTGTGACCCGTGTCTAACCCTCCGTCCTCCATCTTCTGCTTTTCCAATAACAGACTGGCGGACGTCGGAAAAACAAGCGACGCCAAACGTCTCTTCGGAGGAGCGAAGGGGAGAACCCAAGTGAAGCTGCTCCTGTGGAGTACAATTACCTCCAAATTGCTGCTTTACCCTCTTGACCCCTCGAGGATTTTACCTAAAACTGCTGTGAGTTTCCTCCCCTCCCAGTGCCAACTCTTTGTTCCCAATCAACTGAAAGGATTAGGATGTGGAGGAGAGATTAAAACGCTCATGGACATCTGAATTTGCTTCAACAAACCCCAAAAGCCAAATAGAGTGATGCAGTGACGACGTATGTTTGTAGCCAGACAGGAATTTAGCATCGCATGGTTCCCTTGACCAAAAGCTAATTGGATTTTTTCCATTGCCGAAAATAAGATCTGTGACAAGCAAACGTTTATACTTACACTTTTTTTTCGGCAGGATAATCCCCCCATATCAACACCACTTTACTTTATGAAGCTGAAATGCAATCACCAGAAGCAAAAAGCTAACGTTAGGCTATAAAGGAACTGCATCACGGTCACATGACTTCACGTCACCACCGCTAAGTTAGCTAATGATTGGCGTGATGACGTTTAGTCGTCTCAGTAAGACACTTGTTAGTAACCACCCTTATTTATGACACATACAGTAGAACCTTCAGAGGTTTACCAGTGGGTTATTAACTGAGGTATATTATGTCGTAGAATACATCTGAGAAATCTCGTAAGCTTGTGTTACCTCCAAACCTCAGTTCAGGCTTCTAACTACACACAAAACCAGAACTGATTCCTGATTCCTACACCACCCTATCACGATTTCATTCATTAATCATGGACACCTTATTAAAGCCTTTACATCAAGAATAAATCTGAGAAACGTTGACTTCAAGACGAACAAATCTAACCACACACATTCAAAAACAGTGGACTTTAAGACTAGGGGCCCCGGAAATGCAAACTCATTTCTGGGTTTTAGAGCTCATTCCTGCTTCACTGTCTTAGGTATCCTTTTAAAGAGGTATCATTCATTAAACATGGACACCTTATGTAGGGCATTAAACCAAAAACAAATCTGAAAAATGTTGACTTCAGGACTACCGAATCAACCAAAAACGCATATAAAACCATTGACTTTGAGAAAAGGCAACCGGAAGTGCTAAAATGCTGACTCATTTCTGGGTTTAATGACTCATTCCTGCACCTCTCTATTTGGTATCTTGATAATGAGGTGTCATTTATTAATCAAGGAAACCATCTATCTTATGAAATGTTGCAAAAAACCCGTCTTGCTGGATGGACATCTGGAAGTTTCAGCAAGAGTCTTCTGGGTTTCCTTGTGCTTCGAGCCTTTTAAAAAGAACAATTGCAAACTTTTCTGCTCATATTTTCTGCATCTTGCAATCAATATTTATGTTGTTTTTCTGTTTCTCTCTGGTTCAGTTCAGCCTCCCTCAGTCTGAGGCTATGAGAGGGAGAGAGGAGTCCCAGGCCGCACCATCATGCTACTTCTGAGACGCCGGGATGAGACTTTGGCTGGCAAAACACAAGGTAAGACATTGTTGATGCATGAGGCATCTCCACAGCTGTTTTTATTTAAGTTTCCTCGCCTCGTCCCTGCAGAGCGCCGCTGAAAGCATCCCGTCTTATCTCACCTGCGTGTGTTTTCCGCCTCCCTAAGTGCGAGCCTTTCCTTAAAAGCTCGGTGATGGATGGTGTAAAACTTCCAAAGGCTTTTCTTTGCTCTGTATCTCACGCCAGGCTTGCTTAAGGGTCAGGATAATGGTTCAAGGTGGAGCCTACAGATGAACGCTTCAATCCCGGGGGTTTTTTAGCGCAGTGTGCACTTTGATCAGAGGCATCAGTGGACGTTCAACCCCGACCCCATCGACTATCGGCTTCATTTGCATGGCTCTACAGGCATTGATCAGGCAATTAAAGGATTTGTAGAATGAGATTTTTGTGGTGGAAGTGTGTGACCGCTTGTGTTTGTTCTCGATTCAACCGTACGAAGGCGGAGAGAGAGAGAGAGAGAGAGAGAGAGACGGTACGTTTTGTGTGATAAGATAAAAGAAGACATAACTCTCTTCTCTGTCCCAGGACAAAATTAAACAGTGTAAAATGTATTCGCCACAAGGGCCCATGAGGGGCCATTATCATATCAGCAGATTCCATCTTTTCCTCGTAAATTCATCTCCTCGGTGCTCAGCTTTTTTTGCCTTTTTTAATTGCTACTACAACCTTTCTTCCTCTTCCTCGTCCCCCTCTTTTCATCCCATGCACTATTAACAACGGTGGAAATACTACTCCGATACTATACTTAAGTATAAGTGGAAATACCAAATTGAAAATATAAGCTGTTTCAAGTAAAAGTCCTGAATAGAAATCGTGCTTCAGTAGAAGAACAGAAGTATCAAAAGTCCTCAGTGTGCATAATGGCTCTTTTCACAGTAATATATTATTACAGAATATTAACCTGTTTTGTCACCAACAAATACTGGTTATATATGTTGTAGCTTGTCCATTTAAAGTCAATGTACTTACAATTTACTTTTAAAATACTGTGTAGATTTGCAGTACAGTACTGCATATTTTCATATATCATGTCTCTTAACACTTTCGGGACACCTATTTATGTATAAAAGTGGATTCAGCATAATAGCAGACCTTTTAAAACTGGACAAAAAGCATGATAGTGGAACTTCTGTCTCTTGTTTTTCAGAGTAAAAGTCATTTTAGTGGCTAGTGTATTTCAAAATAAAAGTCTTGAATATGATTTTCCTCTCAGTCTGAAATGTAAGTTGCTTTGGATAAAGAGTACCTGTTATAGTCACCTAAATAACATGTCAGTACAAGGACCTCAAACATGTAGTATTTGAGTAAATGTAATTCCACCTCTAAATAATCAGGCTGACATTAAGGGACATTTAGAGACTTGGTGCAATTTTGTCTGCAGTGAAATTGACAAATGAATAAAAACGTATCTCATCGCAGAATCAGCTAATCATTTTTCTTTCATTGAGAAAAGTGTGTTCTTGTGTTTGTGTTTCCTCTGGGATGCACTGGTTGCTGTGCACTGTACGAACGCTGCCATCACACAGCCTCTCCTCACTGTGACTCCGATCCAGAGGCAGAGCGGCTCCGTAATGAAACCCTCGGCCCTCCGTCTGCAGCGGAAAGTCACACGGCTCATGCTGACTCTGCACATCGCTGTACTATTGCCTCGCGTCATAAAACATTACCATATAGATGAATTAAACGGCGGTGGTGGTGAATCTCATTAACCGCCATACCTTCTTTGAAAAAACTCGTATTAGTCTGCCTATTATGCAAGTATTACATAATCTGTTTAGGAATGAATAATAGTTCAAATATATTAAATTAACAATGTGGTTTTTTTCTAAAAGCGTTATCTCCAGGCCTCGCGTGCCGAACCTAAATGGGATTTTGGCCGTCATTACATCACAGACACTCAGCGACATTGATTAAGTGCAGCGTGGCTCATTTTTCAATCCAATTAACAACAGACTGTTATTTAGACGCCATGTCATCAATTATACCCAATGCACAGAACTGACTATCCCCTCTGTGATGGGTGAGATAAAGTACGGTCACATCACCTCTCTCCTTCCTGCTGAAAGTCATTAATGGAGGATTTCTGTATTGATGTGTAACAGTGAGCCAAATGAGCACCTCTTGGGTATTTGTCTTCCTCCTCCTCTGGTGTTGCATTCTAACCCCAAAGCAAATTCCTTGTATGTGTAAATGTACCTGGCAATAAACTTGATTTATTTTGACTTAAATGTTCAAAAAGCTCTTCATTTTTTCTCATAATGCACACCTCTTTTCACCCTCTGTCTGAAACCAGAGCCCAGTCTGCTCTGATTGGTTAGCTGGCCGCCTCTTTGTCTATCACATACAATGTATAGGAGCGCTAGCCAATAGAAGCACAAGTGTTACAGGATGATGTCCAGTGGCGGACTGGCCATCGGGACGAATGGGACGAACGGGACGAATCCCGATGGGCCGGTACTGAAGTGGGCCGGTCGGACGATGTGGGCCGGTCGGATAAGTCACTAGCTGACAATTTACTAGCGGTATTTACTTGCGGTACCGAGGTGGGCCCGTGGTACCGAAGTGGGCCGGTCGAGAGTCCCGGGTTGATTTTTAGTCCCAGTCCGCCCCTGGTGATGTCACTATGTTACAGAAGTAAACAGAGGAGTCCAATGGAGGCGTTTCAGGCACTACACACAGGATGGGAAAAGCGCAGAAGTCATAATAGGTTTAAGATGGATAGGTTGTTTTTTTTGGCTTATTTTGGGAGAAAATTCTTAAATGGCACCATTGTACATTTCGATGCCTTTTTATAGAAATAGAAAATAGGTCTTTTTTTTCTGTTTTCCTCGAACTGTTTCTCTAAATTAGAGCAAATTCAAGAGGGTGTGTTAGGGTGTTCTGATGTTATGTGAACACATCTTGTTACTCACCATAACTCATAGTTCATATTGTACACACAGACAGTTCATTTCTGAAATAGGGCTATTGATATTGAGACAGGCAGAGTAAGTGTTTGTTTCTGGGTAGTGGAGGATAGAGAGAGTGCAGCAGTGAGTTTTTTAAGCTTGACTTCTTGTCTGTAGGCATATCTCATTAATTCAGTAACTCATTCTTATTCAAAGAAACTTTTCAGGCGCAGCGAACTCGCCCCGGCACGTTTTCTCTCTGTAATGAATCCCAATCATATTGTTGCACCTCGGCTTCCCTGATGTTCAATTATCTCGTAATTGAATAAACTTGTACCGTGCCGCAGCGGGGTGAGTGTAAGTCTCCGGCAGGTCATTTATCTCACAGTATCATTTGATATTAATTGAATCTGGACAGGGAGATCACGTGTCGTATCAGGCTTGACCTGGAAAAACACGGCTAAGATCTGTGCGGTGGCATCGATCGGGGTTCAAAACAGCGGATCAATACAGCCTCACTCATCCTCGTGTGCAGCAGCTGAGCACTAACATAAGTCACCTGGAAAAGAGCCCGCAGATCCACTCATTAGCTGCAGAGCTGCACTCCCAACATTTGCTTTGGTAACATCTGTTATTTTCTGGCTCGTCGTCGGATGCTGCTGTGCCGAGGCTTCAGGTGCCGTCTGTGTTTGGGCTCCAGTTGTTGGGTAGATATAACACCAAAGTCCATCAACAGGAATTTTGGTTTAAAGAGTCCTCTCCTGCTGATGTTCAGGTGTATATCAGTATGTAGTGTCTCTACTTTAAAGAGTTCTCTCCTGCTGATGTTCAGGTGTATATCAGTATGTAGTGTCTCTACTTTAAAGAGTCCTCTCCTGCTGATGTTCAGGTGTATATCAGTATGTAGTGTCTCTACTTTAAAGAGTCCTCTCCTGCTGATGTTCAGGTGTATATCAGTATGTAGTGTCTCTACTTTAAAGAGTCCTCTCCTGCTGATGTTCAGGTGTATATCAGTATGTAGTGTCTCTACTTTAAAGAGTCCTCTCCTGCTGATGTTCAGGTGTTTATCAGTATGTAGTGTCTCTACTTTAAAGAGTCCTCTCCTGCTGATGTTCAGGTGTATATCAGTATGTAGTGTCTCTACTTTAAAGAGTCCTCTCCTGCTGATGTTCAGGTGTTTATCAGTATGTAGTGTCTCTACTTTAAAGAGTCCTCTCCTGCTGATGTTCAGGTGTATATCAGTATGTAGTGTCTCTACTTTAAAGAGTCCTCTCCTGCTGATGTTCAGGTGTATATCAGTATGTAGTGTCTCTACTGGGACATGTCTCCATGCTTTAATGTTCAAAGAGCTCTTTACTTTTCTCATACTGCCTGTGCTGCAGCACCTCTTTTCACCCTCTGTCTGAAACCAGAGCCCAGTCTGCTCTGATTGGTTAGCTGGCCGGCTCTGTTGTGATTGGCAAAACATTTCCCGCCCCTTAGCCTATCACGTACAATGTGTTGGAGCGCTAGCCAATAGAAGTTTGAGTGTCACATAGTGATGTCACTATGTTTTGGAAGTAAACAAAGGATCCCAATGGAGTAGGGATGTTAAGATTCACCGATTCACATCGGTGCACCGGCATAAACGTTCAAGATGCGAGTGCACCGGTTGAAAGAGTGCACATCGGCTACAGTTTAGGGTTGAACTCGCGATGCATCGATTGTAGCGTCTTTGCATCGGTAAAAAACCGATTCATTCATATAATATCCTCTCATCCTGTCAGCACTCAGCAGAGACGATCTTTGATCTTTGCTTCGCCACTACGGAGGCCGAGAGTCTCAGTTATCAACAAACATGGAAGTCGAGGAGAAAGAGAAACACAGCGCACCGAAAAATACCTACAAATCAAATGTTTGGCAACACTTGACGGACAACTTGAAAAATCGCTCGCAAATTGTTAACGATGCCGTGCCGCTTTAAAGTACACTAGTAGTACGAGGAACTTAGCGACGCAGATAAAGAGGGTCTGCGGCTGAAAATAAAAACCTGAAAGTTAGACATGACTCAGTGAGGTGTTCTGTCAGTGAGAGTGGTGTTTAGTTTAC